TAATTTTTCTGGTTCACATACTTCAGGTAAAGATATATAAAATCCCAGCGTATCTCCTTGTGAGTAGCCATCACTGTAATGTTTTCCTCTACTTTGATGGAATAATGTGCCTTTTTTACTCCGCCATGAATAGCTAAATTTATCATAACCAAGAGGTGCTTGTAAATTACCTGAAATTAAAAAGAAATAATTATATTTTCAGTTCACACAATTATCATATACTAGTTATCTACAATTTCCATTGTGGAATCTGGCAAAATATAAAAGCCATTCTGTTCTTGTGCCAAGCTGCAATAACAAGATAACTTTTCTGAATTATTCACTGAAGAGCAACTTCATGTACATTTGCACAGTGAAACGATCAAATGAACTATAAATAGTCATAAACATTCACTGTAGTTGCTTTTGTTTTATTCATCATACAAACATAAAACATCAAAATTGATGGTGACTAGCTGTGCCAGTCTGCAATTCTTGGCGACTGCTTGTGTTATGGTCAGCAATTCATGACGACTAGCTGTGCCAGTCTGCAATTTTTTGGCGACTGCTTGTGCCATGGTCAGCAATAATCAAATGGTTTAATGAGTGTTTTCACATTATACCTAAACTCTGAGCCCAACCTATGCGAGTGGCAGATTCGGGCGGTAAATCTTCTATTGTAGCTTCCCAATACCACGAATTCCTTGACACACCGTGTGTTGCTCGGACCATAGAATAACCTTTGTCACCAGTCACAGCTAAGCGATCTTCAGATATCTTCAGTTGCGGGGCTGGAATAATAAACAGATACAATTAATAATGCACCAAATACAGCCAGTATTTTAGATATGTTTCATAGCCACTTTGTAATAATAAGCAATCGAGTCAAATATTCATGACTTGTGTTATAGTTTGTGTCACTTTGTGTAAATATATGAGATAACCAATCTGGTTTCTCAATTTATTGATAGTTATTATCATTACACATCTATCACCAATAACAATACAATGTGCCGTTCCTTGTAACGTATCTGAAATTTTCCCTTTTATGACGCAAACTATATAACACATTCCAGTTATTGGCGTCATATTCAAACACTTTCCTTTGTTGACATCAAACATACTGAAGTTCTAGAGACGCAGAATTACAGTGACTTTCACTGAAGTATTAAAAACACAGACTCAGTTCTTATCAACATCCCCAAATGGTGAAAATTCCCAGCAGTTTAATAAAGATTTTAGCATATATTACCTCTATCATGTAAAGCTAACAAAACCTCAGATGATAATGATGCTCTGTATAAATGTGCAGGAATGGGTTTTCCAGCCCAGTGATCTAAATCAAATGCAGCACTTGGAGCATGTGGATCAGTCTCTGCCAATACATAACGATAACCATCTTTGTTGTATGGATGTTCTAATGGATAACCATGGGAAGGCAACCTCTGAGATGATCCTATATCACTGCAAATATCAAAATATACATCAAAATATCACTGTTATTAAAAGGCAATACCACAATGTTATTTTTAATTACAGATAAATGCATCGTTTATGTATCAAACTTATTTCAAGTATTCTGTATGTACAGTATAAGGCAAATAACCACCAAGATCTTGTTGAGTGTCATCTACACTAAAGTAACATTCACAAAAGACAAATAGCCTAAAAGCTAAATT